GGTTTGTGTTGTTTTGAGTCTCCCTGGAAAAGGGTCCCTAGCTGCCCTCAAACTCCTCAGGGTGCTAGAAAAGTTCAACTTTGAAAAGTGATGTTAAAAAAAAAAAAAATGTCGGCTTTGTCTGAGGAGCCTCAGAGAGAATTTTAATTCATTCAGGGGTAAAGAAAAAAGAGCTTCTTGGCCGCTCTCTGAAATAGAAATTTGACAATACAAAACAAATGGATGATTAGTAAAAGCTACAAAATATTCCTGCTACCATCAATTGTCTTCGGAGCAGGAAAGGGACTTGGTACTAAGATACTAAGTTGAACAAATGAGGCAAATTGTACCTGTCAATGTCAGTTAACTCAGCCAAAAATAATCTTACTAAGGTTTTAATCAGTACTTTACTCCCATACTTTCATCCCCTATCTGAAGATTAATGGCACATAGTAGGTGCTCAAAAAATATCAGTTGAGATTCCCTTGAGGTCCCTAATTCCCCATCCCATGAGAATGACTGCCATGACCCTTTAGTGGATGTAAAGTACCTATTTCTAGAGCCTCATCTCACCAGACAGCTGAAAGGTGTCGTAGTCTCAATTTCCCACATAGTAACTATACCCACAGTAGGTTCTCAAAAAACATTAAACTCTTATCTCTTGGGGGTTCTGTTGAATCTTTCTGCTTCCAAGATATTCTCCCCTCTCATTAACTCCAGAGTTGAAAGCTACCCCTCACTAATGTAGTAAAGAGCCCAAGTGAACTATCTATATTCCAAGATTGTATGTCACCAGTCTGTGTGTGTTAAAATAATCGGTTAATGGCTAAAGGAAGGCATGTATACTTCATTTCACTTCCATGGTTAATCCTGATTATCAAGCTTAAGAGACAAAAATCCTGTATCTTGTATACTATTTATAGCTCAATTAATCAAAAGAATCCTCTAACTCTGCAGACAGGACAAAAACCCTTGATTGCTGGAGGACAGTAAACACCCTTTTTCTCTCTCCCCCTCTCTCCCTGCCTCCCTTTCCCCTCAGGATCAGTCTCACGCCAAGCCTCAGGCCTTGCTGAGGGAACAGCTCACTGTCTTTCCCTCCAAGGGTCCCTCCACCCTTGGATACCCACCCCTTCAACCCAGTACCAGCACCCCCCCAGCTGCCTCTCACCCTCTTCCACTTCCTGCAGCCCTTGCTCTGCTTCTTTTCCCAGGAAGGTCCACTCCTTCATTCTTGGACTCACTGAACACCTCACCAGTGGCCATAAACTGGCTATAAAGGTGAACAGCTAGGATTCTCCCTGCCCTGTAACTACCAACTCCAATGTATGATGGAATGGTGACCAGGTGTGACATTTAGAGGAATGGTGATTCAAGTCTTCGGGAATGCAGATAGAGAAGATGAGGCTGAGGTGAGGGGTGGGGTCAGGGAGCAATCAGTATGCAGTCTTTTTTTTTTTTTGGAGGAATATTTGATTTACAATGTTGCCTTAGTTTCTGGTATACAGTAAAGTGATTCAGTTATACATACATATATACATATTCTTTTTCATATTCTTTTCCATTATGGTTTATTACAGGATGTTGAATATAGTCCCCTGTGCTATATAGTAGGACCTTATTGTTTATCTTTGGTTTTTTGTTTTTTTTTTTTTTTTGCGGTATGCGGGCCTCTCACTGTTGTGGCCTCTCCCGTTGCGGAGCACAGGCTCAGACGTGCAGGCTCAGTGGCAATGGCTCACGGGCCTAGCCGCTCCGCGGCATGTGGGATCTTCCTGGACCGGGGCACGAACCCGTATCCCCTGCATCGGCAGGCGGACTCTCAACCACTGTGCCACCAGGGAAGCCCCTGTTTATCTATTTTATATATAGTAGTTTGTATCTGCTAATCCCAAACTCCTAATGTATTCTTCCCCCACCCCCTTTCCCCTTTGGTAACCATTAGTTTGTTTTCTATGTCTGTGAGTCTGTTTCTGTTTCATAAATAAGTTCATTTGTGTCATATTAGATTCCACATATAAGTTATAGTACACAGTCTTCTGAAATGATCCAGTCTGGCTCCAGAAAGAGACTGGAAACACACCCTAGGAGGCCTCTGAAGTAACCCAGAGACCAGCTGACCAAGGTAAAGCAATCAGAAAGGAAAGTCAGTGAAATGGGTCCAGGGCTCCCAGTCAGAATAATCAGAGGGTACTGGTGCCACTAATCTGACCAAGAGAAGAGCTACCTGCATTTCTGGACATGCTGGGTGAGGGTGCTGCCAGCATCCAAGAGTGAACACAGACACGGGCCAGGATGGGGTCTTCTGATGGTCCCAGAGGCAGGGGGTGTGGTCAAGAGCATGGGCCTCTGGAGCCCAAATGCATGGCTTCAATTTCCAGCCTTTACAAAAAAGCTAGTGACCTTGAACAAGTCACTCTGTGCCTCAGCTCCTTACCAGTAAAACAGGGATGCTGATAATAGTATCTACTTCATGGTGTTGTTATGAATGTTAATAAGCTAACATATGTAAAGAGCTTAAAACCACCTGGTACACAGTAAATGCTATATGTGTTTGCTCTTGAGTTTCAAAGTGTCAATCAGCACAAAACACTAGGCTTGTCTATCAGGGGACAAGTGATTCTGATGGGGCTAGTTTTGGGCAGGTGAACCTAAACTTTCCCTGCCTCAGACTACAACCCAGATTATGTAAAATAATAGGGATTTCAGAAGAGTTCAAATCAAGGCCTTTTCAAAAGACTGTAAAACTAAAGCTTCAACCTTCTCTCCTAATTCTTCCTTCTAGTAGCAACTTTAAAAGATCCTTCCATAATATTCTCTCTGATTCTCTCCCTATTTCCTAACTGCTGCTGGAAACAGGCAGCTTTGCTCACCTAAACTGGGAGGCCAAGTCCCAGCTTCCACACCTGCTGAGTTAAGGCCTGACTCAATTCTGCCCCCATTGGTAATTTGGAGGAAATACACCCAAGTGTCCCTGAGACACTTGACAGGCTGCAAATGTAGAGAAGACTACAAGAAAGACCTTTTCACATGGCTGTGCTTAATCATCACAACTCCCTAAAGTGAAGAAGGTTGCTGTTGTCATCCCTGTTTTACAAAAAGAAACTGGCGGTCCAAAGAAGCAAAGTGACTTGCTCAGAGTCCTGTGGTTAATAAACCACAAAACAGAGATTAGAACTCATTTCTACACACCCTGTTTAATTCTCTTTCCAGTTTGGGACTAAAGCTATGACCCCTCCCCATTCCAGGCCAGGAAGGTTCCAGTCCTAGCCTCCATCCTCTGGTTTCGGGGAGGGTAAATTTGTGGTCCTAGGTTCCTTCCTCTGGACAGGGGGTGAGTAAATTTAAATGTCCTGGGGCAATATTCAACCAACTGAGAAGACCTCTCCTGAATTAATGGTCCTCCAGCTTTGTATTCTAGGACTTGCCAAGAGACGACTGTCACAAGGGTTAACTCACTTCTTGAGCAAAGAAGTCCAACGAAGTTGCCAAGGTCCTGCCGGATCACAGACACGTTCTTAAATAAACTGAATTAAAGTTCAGAGCAGAGCCTTATCCCAGGATTGAGTTAGAAGGTAACAGCCACTTACAAGCAGACTAACACTCAACTAAACCAGCGGCCCTCTGCTCCCTACTCCAGTCTGAGGCTAAGTAATGTCACGGTATTTTGGGGTTCATCTACCACGGCTTTGAAAACACTGTGATGGCAACCCACCTTCCTCTCCTTTGCTCTCAGGATCCCCAGAATGGGAGTATGAGCAGGTCGCCCCACATAAAGATAACGTCAAAACATTTGCCCAAAAATGTGTTCCCATTGAGATACAGAAATTTCAAGTATGTAATTGAGCAACGCTCTGTCATTGACTCACAGATCTGGACACCCTCCACCCCCGCCCCAGCCCACCCTCTCGTCTCAAGTCCTAGCTGAGGCCCAGGGCCAGGAGCCAATCCCGAAATCCCGAGCGTTTCAGAAACTCAATTCTCCCCAGAGAGCGCCTGGGGCCCAGCCTAGCCCCACCCACTCTCCATACCCAGAGGCACAGAGAGCGAGGCTCCCCGGCGGGGCCAGAGGCTTTGTCTTACGTAAAAGACCTGGCCGGAGCAAGAGCTCGGACTTAGGCGGGGTGCTGCTGAGACAGAAGCGGGCAGACAGGTCAGGGCTCACGACAGGGAAAAGCTCGTTTTCAGAAGGACAAAAATCTCCAGGAAGACGGCAAAGAGGGGAAAAGGGGGTGTTGGTTCTCTCGGAGAAACTTTTAGGTACACCAGAAGTAACATCCAAAGTCCACCCCCCATTTGGGGGCGGGCCCGAAGATGGGGTACTCAAGGCAGGGCGGCCCCGAGGCAGGCGCTGGGAATGGGCGTGGGGGGGGCGTACGCCCCTCGCGGAGCCACAGTTCCGGGCGCCTCAGTTCCGGGAAAGGGGTGCGGCGGGCGGAGTTTCTCTGACCCTTTCCCAGCTTCTTCCCTCGTGGTCTTCTCCCCAAGCCCACCTCCGCAAGGCCGTGAGGAACGCTAGGGGGAATCGTAGGTCCCCAAAATGTGGTCCTTTAGCGCGGGAGGAACCCAGGCAACCCCGCGCGGCAGCGGAGCCTTCCCCCAACTCACCCCCCCGCCACGATTCTCCCCACGTGCTCTGGCCGGAACTCTGGCAGCGAAAGGGGGGCTCCTCCCACGTGGGCCCAGCAGTCAAAGACTACGTGCCGGGTGGCCCGCCCCTCCAAAAAAAAAAAAAGCGCGAGCGCGCGCAGGGCCGCAGAGAGGGAGAGCCGCGCGGTGCGCGAGCCCCGGAGCCTCGCACGCGCGCACACGTCTGCCCGTGCCTAGCGGACGTGGCTCCTCCAGCCCAGGACTTTCCCCGCCGCGCTGATATTTTCCGCGTCCGCGGCCCGGAATGGGAAGGAAGCGGGTCCCCGCAGGGTCTAAGAGGAGAGTCCCAGCCGGCCGGGACCCCGGAGAGAGGGCCGGGGACAAAGCAATGTTGTCAGGCGAGCCAGCCGCCCCCGCCCGCGCTTACTTACCTTCTGCACTTGGTCATGGTTGAGCTCCGTAAAGAAGTAGGCGAGCAGATGCGAGGCGATCATCCTGCTGCGGCCCGACAGCGCCGAGATGGGAAACCGAGGCTGGAGCGCTTGCGGGGGAGGAGGGCGGCGCGGTCTGACCGCTTTGTCCGGGCTTGGAGGCCCGGTTGGGAGCGATGAGTCCGGGAGGTACACAAAGAAGGCACACGATGGCGCGCCCAGCTGGAGAGTTTCGGGACTCTAAAAACAGGTTTTGATAGTCACAACTGCTGAAGGACCAAGAATCACTCCCAGCGACGTGCTGGGATGCCCCCACTGTCAAGGTACTAACTTCAGCCACAGAATCACTAAGGCTCAACTTGAGGAGAATAGCAGCTTGGCTCCACTAGGGCGACAGGACCTCTTCGGCTCACACGCGCGCTGCTCTCGCCAGCGGATCTTCTCGGCTCGGTGACACGCTGGTGCTAGCGGCGGTCCGGGACTCCTGCGCTGGAGTTTCGTGCAACAATGTGGCTTATTGAGGGGTTGCCGGCTCGCGGGCCGCCGGGTCAGTGACGCGCGCACGCCCATTGGCTGCGCGGGGAGGGTGTGTGTGCCCACGGGCCGCCCGCCGCCGCGGTGCAGCCAGTCAGAGCGGACGGCCCGCGGGCGCGGCCGCTCAGACACCCGAGCCGGCAAGCTGGAGGGGCGCACCCGGGGCAGGGGGAGGGGCCAGGCAGCATGGATGAGACGTGTGGTCCGTGGCAACAGGCTGGGGCGGAAAGGCGCATGAGCCACCGCCGCGTCAGGCCCAGCTATGGGGGGGGGGGGGGGGGGCGCATAATCACAGACCCGGAGTGTGGGGTGACTGGAAAGTCGGGTCACCGGACTTGCACACGCCCTGGGCGGGGAGAGAAACACTGTCTGGCATCTCGGGGTCATGTGAGGGGCCCCCGCTACTGGGTCACATTTCTGAAGCATCTTAGTTCTCACCTATTGTGGCTCCAGGCGTCCGCGCAATGCTGATGCAAAGTGAGCCGCCGCAACTGCTGCTCACTTTATGCCAGGCACCACAAAACTGAATGGATGTGAGTTTTACTAACCTTGTTTTACAGATGAGGAAACGGAGCCCTTAAGAGACTTGCCCAAGGTCACACAGTTAATGAGTGGCAGGTAAGGGAAGAAACCCACGTCCGTCTTTGAGGCCCTATTCTTTTCCCTATTATCCCATCCTGCCACTGTAAGAGCTGGGAAGTAAAAAGCAGGAAAAGAACTTTGTCTGCAGCTGTGGGACTGACGCGTGGGTGAAACTGGGTGGGTGATAAGTGCGTAACCAAATGATCCTGGACGTGTGTGGGGTGGGGTGGCTTATGGATGCTGAGAGGGGTAGGAGCCACAGCCACAGCTAATGCCCGGCATCAAACGTTTTCTTTTTTTCCTTTTTTTTTTTTTCTAATTTTATTGAAGTATAGTTGATTTACAATGCTGTGTTCATTTCTGCTGTACAGCAAAGTGATGCAGTTATATATTCTTTTTCATATTCTTTTCCATTATGGTTCATCACAGGGTATTGAATCGAGTTCCCTGTGCTATACAGTAGGACCTTGTTGTTTATCCATCCTATATATAATAGTTTGCATCTGCTAACCCCAGACTCCCAATCCTTCCCCCCTCCCCCCGACCTGCAACCACAAGTCTGTTCTCTGTATCTGAGTCTGTTTCTGTTCCATAGATATGTTCATTTGTATCGTATTTTAGCTTACATACATAAGTGATATCATGTATTTGTCTTTCTCTTTCTGACTTACTTCACTTAGCACGAGAATCTCTAGGTCTACCCATGTTGCTGCAAATGGCATTATTTCATTCATTTTTATGGCTGAGTAGTATTCCATTGTATATACATACCATATCTTCTTTATCCATTCATCTATAGATGGACATTAAGGTTTTTTCCATGTCTTGGCTATTGTAAATAGTGCTGCAATGAACATCGGGGTGCATGTATCTTTTCAAATTATAGTTTTGTCTGGGTATATGTCCAGGAGTGGGATTGCTGGATCATATGCTGGCACCAGACTTTTATACATGGTGGAAGCCAGCAAGAGTGAGTGCAGCCTATGGGAGACTGGTGACTGTGCAGAATAGCAAGCCTGGGGTTGGAAAGGTCGCAGGGGAGGGAAGGTGAAGGTTTGCAGTGTTCTCCTGAGGAGTTTCTCCTTCTCTCATAAACAGTGGGGTGCTATCTGCAATGTATAATAATAATAATAAAACACAATATTAAATGTTCATTGTTGGAAAATAAGAATATACAAACAGAAAAAAACATAAACCTCCATGATCTAGCCTCTCAGCAAAACTTCTTGAAAGCTGTGTACCCTTGCCAACTACACATTCTCGCCCCTCCCTCCCTTACTCCAATCAGGCTTGTCCAAAACTGCTTTGGTCATAGTCACCGTAATGACCTACAAAGTGCCAAATCCTCTGTTCCTTTCTCTTTTCTTTTTTAATTTAACTTAATTTTTTATTTGATGTATAGTTGATTTACAATGTCATGTTAGTTTCAGGTGTATGGCACAGTGATTCAGTTTTGTGTCTGTGTGTGTGTGTGTGTGTGTGTGTGTGTGTGTGTATTCTTTTTCAGATTCTTTTCCCTTATAGGTTATTACAAAATATTGAGTATAGTCCCCTGTGCCACACAGCAGTAGGTCCTTGTTGGTTATCTATTCCTATCTCTTTTATACCCTTGTCTTACTCCACCTCTCAGGGACATTGTGCACAGTTGACCAAATCCCTCATCTGAACACACCATCCTCTGCTAAGCCAGGGAAGCTCTACCCTCCTGGTTTCCCTCTAACCTCACTCTCCAGGTTCCTCAACCCCCATTTTCATTACTGGTAAATGCTGGCATATTCCATGGCTGATCTAGTTACACTCTCTCCCTGGCGTTCCCTGCCAGCCCCATGACAGTTATATCATTTACACGCTGATGACTCACAAATGTAAATCTACAGCGAGGACCTCTCCCAGAGTTCCAGACTTATTTGTCATCTCCCACTGAAGTGACTAGCATCTCCCACTTAACATGTCCAAAGCTGAACTCAACTTTTCTTCCCAAATCTATTCCTTTCCTGGTTGTCTCAGCAAATTGTATCACCATCCCCCCTAAATCATCCTTGATTCCTTCCTCCCACTCACCTTCATATCCAGTTAATCCATCAGCAGTCAGTTTGATCCCTAAAATAGATCCTATTAATTGACCTCTTCTCTCTGTGTCCTCGGACATCTCCTAGCCAAGCCACCAGCAACTCAGCCAGAGCCAATACCACATTGTCCTACCTTGCCCCCTGCTTCCATTCATGCCTACCTCCACCCTGACCCCTGTAGTCAGTTCTTTACTCAGGGGCCAGAGTGACCTGTAAAATATAAACCATTCTGTGTCTCTCCCGGGCTCAAGTTTAATGTCTTCCAAACTTAGAATAAAATTCAAACTCCTGACAATGGCCTCTAAGTCTTTATATGATATGGCCTCTGCCTCCCTGTCCACCCCACTCTACACTACTTTCCCCAGTACACTGCTTGGCACTCACACTAGTATGTTTTCCTCGAAAATGTCAAACTCTTTCCCACCCAAGGGCCTTAACTCTTCCTTTTTCTTCTTTCTGAAATATTCTTCTCCAGATCTGTGTCCAGCTGTCTCTTCCTCCATATTGAGGTTCAAGCAAAATATCACCTCCTCAGAGGACTTTCCCCTGACCAGTTTATCTCAAGGAGTTCCCCAAGTCACTATCACATAACTCTGATTTCCTATTGATTTTCCATATATGCTTTAGGGCCTATGCTGTACCTATGCCGTTTCCTCATATCCACAGGGCCTAAAATGGTGCCTGTCACCTGGCACCAATAAATATTTGTTGGATAAATGAATAGAAAAAATCTTAGAGATAACCATTTTTCACATTTTTTATAACAATTCATACACCCAACATCTCTCACCTGATTGCAACAGTCTCATAACTGGGCTTCCCCCTTTAGATATAGAAACACCATAGATATATAGGTTTAGCTATCCAACAGAGATTCTTAGGGAAGTGATGTGATCTGATTTGCTTTTTTAGGGCAATAATTGCCCTCCATGTGGATACAGGGGAAGGAGATCAGAGACCAGAGGCAGAAAGAGGCTGAAGCTGAAAGATAGGACCAGGGCCTGAACGAAGGTAAGGGTGGGTAGGGAAGTCAGGCTATAGGTTTAGATGTTTCAAAGTCTGAGGTGGAATTGATGGCTTTGGCTAGGAGTGGGGAGGAAAAAGAGGATACCTACTGCTTAGAAATACTTGGAAACCCAATAGTCCAGTGCTACAAAACCTGTTGACCCCAGGCAGATGGGACCAAACCCAGTGGGTCATGTTAGCTATGATCGCTTCTCCACACACTAATTTTAGAGCCTTTTCCCCACTCCCCTCTTTGGTCCCATTTCATGAACCAGATAATAATCACAAGGTAATTTAAGTGCATATTATCTCTTACAAAGCTCCCAATCCTGGGAGGTGGCTGGAGTAGGTATTGTTATAAGCCCCAACTTATACATGGGAAACTAAAAGGTATTACTCACTCAAGGCTGAGACTTACATCTTTGACTTTTCTGACTCCAAACTCCACGCCTGGAATTTATTATTTATAGATCCTTAGATCTCTCTCTCTCTCTCTCTCTCTCTCACAGACACATACACACACAGAGAGAGACACACACAAATGTTGAAGAGTAATAACACATCCATGTAATTTACATTCCACAACCCCAAGAGAGAAATCAATCAGCAAATATTTATTTATTTATTTATTTATTTATTTATTTATTTATTTATTTATTTTTGCGGTACGCAGGCCTCTCACTGCTGTGGCCTCTCCCGTTGCGGAGCACAGGCTCCGGACGCACAGGCTCAGCAGCCATGGCTCACGGGCCTAGCCGCTCCGCAGCATGTGGGATCCTCCCGAACCAGGGCACGAATCCGTGTCCCCTGCATCGGCAGGCGGACTCTCAACCACTGCGCCACCAGGGAAGCCCAGCAAATATTTATTAAACAAACCCTTGCTATGTTCAGGACAGTCTGTTTTTACACAAGGCTGGCTCTTGCCTCACATAGGACTGACCTGAGCCTGACTGTTAGGCTTCAGGGAGCTGCCCTGGGAAGAGGCCACTTTGCTAAGAGACCTCTACTTGCCAAATATTCCTTTTTCTAATTAGAATTTATCAAGTTTGCAACATGTTATAAGTAATGGGATTTCATGGAGAATTTTAAGACTGAGCGTGGGCCTGCCCTGAATATAAATATTAGGACTACTTGTATTGCATTGTCTTTAATGCTGGGCACTAATAATCTGCATAATCTCTTGTGTTTCACAGTTCAATGTATGAATTTGAGGGATTGGGGAAAAGAGGCATTTAGAAGCAATTAAAATTGAAAACTAGAAGCCACAGTGTACA